CTTTCTTACTTTGACGTTGATGATATATTAATAATGAAAGACAGTAAGAAAACGGATCGTGCCCTTCTTACCACATTAATAATGGTTATTTTTTAAAAATGAACACCGACGTTCATTATTGTATTACACAAAAGACTTTTAAAATAAACACTTATGTACTAACTCAGCTTACTAATTAAAAAACTCACTAATTAGAGATAACTGATTTTTAATCTTTTATTTTTCGAGTGAAAATAATAAGAGTGACCCGTGATACATTTGGAAACATATCATCAGGGATTCTCTCATAATGTTGTATAATTAAATCGAAGTCAGTATGATAAAAAATTGTCAAACACTAAAAAATGTATGTCAATGAAACAGGTGCCTAATTTTTTCGTTAAATAAACGCTTGACTCATTGAAATTGGTGCTGAATGTTTTTTGCGACTTATTTTAATCATAGTTACCAATTGGTAACTAGGTTTCACAGGGGCAGACAGATAGACAAACAGACACAGATGAATTTTGTGTGCTAGACCCTAGCCTTTCAGTCTAGGGAATAGCATTCTATTCCCATTATATCAATGACATCTCCTTTTATAATAAAAGTAACTTATCGGCGAAGGCTACCTATTATTAGGGGTGGGAAGTTACCGTTCCCAGATCGTTCCCTGAGAACGGTAACGGTAACTTTCCATTCTTAGCCGTCTCCCGTCCCCAGCTCCAAACCCTACGGTCCTCAAGTCCAATTGTTGAAAAAAATTTTTTTTTGTACAGAAACAGACTTTTTGAGAAAAAATAAATTTTTTTGGGAACACCCAAAATTTTGTTGAAAAAATTTTTTTTCTACAGAAACAGACTTTTTGAGAAAAAATAAATTTTTTTGGGAACACCCAAAATTTTGTTGAAAAATTTTTTTTTATACAGAAACAGACTTTTTGAGAAAAAATAAACTTTTTTGGGAACACCCAAAATTTTGTTGAAAAATTTTTTTTTATACAGAAACAGACTTTTTGAGAAAAAATAAATTTTTTTGATGGAGAAACTGACTTTTTAAGAAAAATAAAATTTTTCAACAAAACTTAGTCCCCTTAGTCCCCTTTAGTCCCCTTAGTCCCCTTAGTCCCCTTTAGTCCCCTTAGTCCCCTTAGTCCCCTTAGTCCCCTTAGTCCCCTTAGTCCCCGTTTTTATAAGGAAGAGGAGACAAGGTACCAAAGAATTCTTGAATTCTGAATTTAAAGAATTTCTTAGTCCCCTTAGTCCCTTATTTCAATTTGAAATCAAGTGCTCTTTTTTTTTTTAAAATTCAGATTGAAATCAAATAACCCATTGTATGGAGAAACAATAAAATAACTTCTATTATTCGTTGTCTGTAGATTAAGAAATTAAATGGATTAATATGAATTATGAGCGAGATTGAATACATGTTAGTTAATTATGTTCGAAATGAATCTTGTAAAACAATCAAGTTACTAACGAAATTACAACTTAAACATTGATATGAGAAAAGAATTTACAAAAATCTGCATTGGAACATCTCGTTTTTCATTGAAAACGTGAACAAATGGTTTCGAATCATGTTCCACTAGATATTTCTTTTTTTTTTGGTACAAAAAAACGTGTTTTTACCACAAAAGTCTCTTATACTCATCTATCTATATAAATTATTTTAATATATTTGCAGCATTTTATCATAGATGTCCTAATCATTTTTTTATTGAAAATTCTTAAGTTTTCATGGAAAATGTTAAAAATCATTCGAGTATGTCCACTGTATTTCTCATTTGTTGCAATATCTTTAGACTTACAGAAAAGAAGTTAGTTAGAAAAAAAAAACTTTCATTCACTATGGAATCTTAATAATTATTGCTTATGTTTAATGTAAAATAATTCTGTTATAATTTGTGTAATTGAAGCAATAAATAACTATTTTCATGATTCTTTCTTCAGATTGAACAATCAAAAATGATTTATCGATTTGTTTTATGTTACGTATAGTCCGATTATTAACAAATAATATTTAACACCTTTTTCATTTTCTGAAAAACGAAAGATATAAATTACTGATTTTTATTTAAGTAAAATCAAAATAAGATTGAATTTATAATGAAAGAAAATAATGATGAACACCTTCAGACAGAATTATTGAGTCTTCAACAATTAATCGTTTCACTTTGGTTCAATTTTGTTCTGTTCTATTTCTTGTTAAGCTTTTTATTACACTTTTTAATTGACCATATAAATCTTTTAATTTAGTTAAACATGATAAATGTGTTTTAAATTCATTCAGAAATATAAATTAAGTAAAATAAGATAAGAATATTCAATAACCGAATATGAATAGTTATCAATGAATGAATATTTGTAAGATCTTCAAAATTGTGGTCGAATATTCATAATAGATAATAATTTAAGTGATGAAAAAGCTTGAGTAATTAGAATGAAAAATTCATGTTTCAATGGAAGTTTATCGTGCAATTCCAAATGAGTTACAGATCTGAATATTAATGAATGAAAGATTGTTCGTAATCTATTTGAGACGATCAAATATAAATGAGAGTGAGAAAACATGACATACGATCTTAAAAGTATCGAAATAGTCTAGAATACAAGCCGCCTGGTAAAGATCTGTACTTACAAAAGTTCTTTGAATATCATAATTAGATATGCAATGAGTTGCATCATCACCGATGTCATTCTTTGTACTAATATAAAAATAAAATGTATTAAAACGTTATGTAATAAGTAACAAAAATCATTAAATTTATAAAAATTCCTTTTTCATTTTCTTCTTTCAATTATCTCTTATATATGTATATGTTACTAATCAAAGAGAATAGTCGATAACTTTTTTTTTTGTGTTCTTCTTTCGTTCAGTCATCACTGGTACAATATGATATGGAGTGCACGACATGTCATTTGTTCTTACACATTCCAGATGAAAAGAAAAATAAATTGAACATAACATGTGTAAAGACGACATAGATATCGTGCACTCAATATCATAGCATGCGTTAAAACAACCGGTTGTCATTATACGCTGCGTATTAAAATTCCGTCGACGTCGTCTTTCTTTGCGTTTCTCTATTTCTTCTCGTTCTTCGTAACAGAAGAAAAAAAAAATTTAAAACAAACGGAGCTTTCGAGGGTGGCTCTAAAACAAAATGAACCTTCCCAGTGATATCCGACGTTCTGTTGGTAACCTGTACAGGCGTGTAGATGGTAGGCCTTCATAACATACATCTATGTATGTGTGACTAGAAGCATCCATCTCGTCATCGTCTTTCCGAAGATGATGATCATGGATGTACTAGTCATACATACATAAATATATGTTTACCTTATCATTGCCGGCTTTGTCCACTGTACAACCCAATAGCATACGGAGGGTATCCCTGGTCGCGCGTGCACGAAATTTTTGTAGTTGGTGCGCTTCGGCGAGCCAAACGTGTTCAAGAAGGCCAATTTATTTTCTTGTTTAAAAAAAAGAAATTACATTTTCTTTTTCACATTGTCAATGTTTCTTTTCACAAGTGCAATATGTGGATGATTTGGAGGTAATGATTTTTGGAAGATTTCTTGCGCCTTTTCGTAATATGAAAGTGCTTTCGAGTACTCGCCCATGTTTCTATACACATTACCGATGTTGTTGTATGAAGAAGCCAAGTCGGGATGACTCGGAGGGAGAGCTATTTTTTTGATTTCAAGTGATCGTTCATACGATGAAAGTGCTTTCGAGTACTCGCCCATTTCAGCATACACATTACTGATGTTGTTGTAGGAAGCAGCCAAATCGGGATGATTCAGAGAGAGAGCTATTTTTCGGATTTCAAGTGATCGTTCATACGATGAAAGTGCTTTCGAGTACTCCCCCATTTCATCATACACCATACCGATGTTGTTGTAGGAAGAAGCCAAGTCGGGATGATTCGGAGGGAGAGCTATTTTGTGGATTTCAAGTGATCGTTCGTACGATGAAAGTGCTTTCGAGTACTCGCCCATGTCTATATACACATTACCGATGTTGCCGTAGGAAGAAGCCAAGTTGGGATGATTCGGAGGGAGAGCTATTTTCCGGATTTCCAGTGATTGTTTGTGCGATGAAAGCGCTTTCGAGTACTCGCCCATGTTATAATACACCATACCGATGTTGTTGTAGGAAGTAGCCAAGTCGGGATGATTCGGAGGGAGAGCTATTTTTCGGATTTCAAGTGATCGTTCATACGATGAAAGTGCTTTCGAGTACTCGCCCATGTTATTATACACCAAACCGATGCCGTTGTAGGAAGCAGCCAAGTCGGGATGATTTGGAGGGAGAGCTATTTTTCGGATTTCAAGTGATTGTTCGTACGATGAAAGTGCTTTCCAGTACTCGCCCATGTCATCATATGCCCAACCAAGTTTATAATTGTAATCTGATCTCTCTTTATCAGAGGATGCCTTTTGGAGAAGTATTTTGTAGAGTTTTTTAGCTTTTGCAGGCTCACCCACTTTAAGAAGTATGAAAGCTAGTTGAGACCATCCTCGTATTGGTGCTTTCAAGTTGACCTCGTTGCGTACGTGTGCTGTAAGTGTATTTAGCTCGTGGTTGTCATTACCCACAAGGATAAGATGAACTTTCCATAGACGATCAGTATGATCGTCATGAATTTGTTGAATTTTATCGATTCGAAATATTGTATGTGTTGTAAAAAGAATTTCAGCTTCTTGGCCTTCGAAAAAGCTAACTTGACTAACATCAGCAAATGGAATTTTTGATTTTGTACATACATCAGGATCAATAGTCATAATGAAGAGAATACCGACCATATCGGAATTTTTCGATGCTCCTTCTCGAGCAAATTTAAGGGACACTTGACGATTTTCACTTGTGGACAAGAAATTATTGAAGGACATAAGTCCTCCTTTGGTTTGTTTCATTTTATCGAAATTTTCAACTGACAAACCTTGTCCACGGAATACTGTAAATGGTTCCGTAGCTTTCGTGCTGGATTGTTGTTGTTCATTATATAATTTTTGGATAGGAAGTTGTTCGTATAACATGTGATATTTTTATTTTTATCTAACATAGGTGCGCTAGATTACTATTAGTCTTTATGAGTTTCGATGAGTAGAATAAAAGTTATCAAAGATAGAAACAATTATTTTATTATCACCATCAGACACCACTTAGTTGGTGTCAACGTCGCATGTAAATTGCACTAAATCTCAGTGTATTTTTCTCTTGTTTTTATCAAAACGAGTTTTTTTTCATCAATACAAAATTAGAAAGATTCACATGTATTCAATCGATCAATTACGATTTACTATTTTCTAACGACATTTATGAATTTATGTGAGCCTCTGTAGATCGAACCCAACGCTAAGATTAAATTATTTAATATTAATAGATAGGTAGAGAATTTTGTGTTGTATGCTTGTACTATCTTTTCAAGATTTCTGATGTTATTGCTCAGGAGGGAAAGACTTGCATTGAAAATTAACTACTTATTCTAGTCAAGATTTATTAATAAAAAATTCACAGTTTTTTTGTTTTTTGTTATCATCGCAGTAGAATGATTCAGTAGATATAAATCTTTTAAATCTTACATTTTTTAGAAAAACAAAATTATCCTTGTAAAATAATAATCTACTAGAGATTTTTCACTTAACTTATTTTGTTTTGGTAGAATTCAGCTAAAATTCAACGACAAGCTATTCGAATTGGTTTACAAAATCGACCTGTGTTTGACGCTGATGTTTATTTAACATAATTTCGTATACCTTTACTTGTTTGAT